CTTCTTCTTCTTCTTCTTCTTCTCCTTCTCCTTCTCCTTCTCCTTCTCCTTCTTCCTTCTTCCTTCTTCCTTCTTCCTTCTTCCTTCTCCTCCCTCCTCCCTCCTCCCTCCTCCCTCCTTTCACGCTACCTTCTTTGGAAAAACAGAGCTAGTTTCCCGGGTAGGGGAGAACAAAAGACCACATCCAATCTCTTTGGCTCAAGAGGTTACCTTGAGATGTCTCTTCCGGAAGAGTATGGATTTTGATCCTTTTTTTTAAAAAAAAAAAACCAGACAGGCGAATCAATTCATTTCTAATTCCATCACTCTCCTGTGTATTCCACTACTCGTAGTTTTATAAACATATAAAGATGATCTCCTTTTTTAAAATATTTTTTTTTTAAAATCTAAGCTTGCAGTTAAACCCATTTTTGCCTTAAACAGTCAGTGTTTCTAGGAGCTTTTATTTATTTATTGGTTCGATTTCTATGCCGTCCTTCTCCGGAGACTCAGGGCAGCTTACAATGCGTTAAGCAATAGCCTTCATACTTTTGTATATACCTTAGTAGGGCTTTCGCCCCCCCCCAAGTGGTGTTCTTTTTTTAATACAAAGTCAGCTTATTGCCCCCACAATCGGGGTCCTCATTTTACCTACCTCGGAAGGATGGAAGGCTGAGTCAACCTTGAGCCTGGTGAGATTTGAACTCGCAGTAATTGCAGGCAGCTAAGTGCTACATTAACAGCTCTTTAGTCCGCTGCACCACCAAGGCTCTCTCCCCCCCCCCTCCCACCCCTAATGCATTTCTGCATGGATTGTCCTACATTATTTCTAAGGCCTCTTCTGGTCATGAACCTCTATACAGGATTTGGGGCAGGCCATCCCCCTAAAAGTAGACCGTTCGCCATTCTTGCGTGAACCCCGAGAAACTGGCCTCAAATTAGCTGGCTTGAAAATGGAAACGAAAAGAAACCCCTCCAGCTGGTTGCTGTGAACTAGTTCAGTAAGTGAGTTCCCCCAGCATTTTGGCACCTCCCTCTTGTCAGGAGAAGCTGCCGATGCGCCAGTTAGCCAGAGGCACCCCTGTTCCTCTCCTTCTGTAATGCTTCCAAGGTAGCAGTGTCGGGGCAGTTTCAATTCTGAGCATAAGGATCCGCAGCCGGTTGCAGCAATCTGTCGCCGGAGGCTTTTAAGAAGAGACTGGACAGTCATTTGTCTGGTATGGTATAGGGGCTCCTGCTTGAGCAAGGGGCTGGACTGGAAGACCTCCAAGGTCCCATCCAATCCTGTTATTCTATATTCTGTAAAGAAGATTCACTATCAGAAAAGGAAGGAAGGAAGGAAGGAAGGAAGGAAGGAAGGAAGGAAGGAAGGAAGAAGGAGAAAAAGGAAGAAAGAAAGAAGGAAAAAAAGAATGAATGAAAGGAGGGAAAGAAAGAAGGAAGGAAAGGAAGAAAAAAGAAAGAAAGAAAGGAGGAAGGAAAGGAAGGAGGAAGGAAGGAAGATAGGGAGGGAGGGAGGGAGGGAGGGAGGGAGGGAGAAAGAAGGAAGAAAGAAAGAAGAAAGAAAGAAGGAAAAAGAAAGAATAAAAAGGAGGAAGAAAGAAGGAAGGAAGAAAAAAGAAAGAAAGAAAAGGAGGAGGAAGGAAGGAAGGAAGGAAAGGAAGGGAAGGAAGGAAGGAAGAAGACCTCCAAGGTCCCATCCAATCCTGTTAGTCTATATTCTGTAAAGAAGATTCACTATCAGAAAAGGAGAGGGAAGGAAGGAAGGGAAGAAGGAAGGAAGGAAGGAAGGAAAGAAGGAAGGAAAGAGGAAGGAGGAAGAAAGAAGGAAGGAAGAAAGGAGGGAAGGAAGAAGGAAGAAGGAAGGAAGGAAGAAAAAGAAAGAAAGGAAGAAGGAAGGAAGGAAGAAGGAAGAAGACCTCCAAGGTCCCATCCAATCCTGTTAGTCTATATTCTGTAAAGAAGATTCACTATCAAAAAGGAAGGAAGGAAGGAAGGAGGAGGGAGAGAGAAAGAAGAAAGAAAGAAAGAAAGAAGGGAGGGAGGAAAGAAAGGAAGAAAAAAAAGAAAAAAGAAAAAAGGAAGGAAGGAAGGAAGGAAGGAAGGAAGGAAGGAAGGAAGGAAGGAAGGAAGGACCGTTGATTCAAAATAATTTGAACAATGGGGTATCCTCCTTCTATGAAATAATGTCTTAAAGATATAGAGTTGCTCAGGAGATATGCGTTCTCTGTTGGGGGGGGGAACCTGCCCTTTGAAACAAGCTTTCCTCTGATAATCTGGATGGCCCCAATCCTCTTGGCTTTCTGAAAGACCTGGATTTGCCCCAAGAACCAAGCCAGGATGTGAGATGAGCCCATTATCTCTAGGTCAGTTACATTGCGAGTTTGTTAGATGCGCTGCCTTGGCAATGGCTTTATCGTTGCTTTGAACTGTTATTTTCAGGTCCCCATACGGAGGGTTTGACCTGTTCGTCTTTCCTCCCGTGCGCAGCGTGTCAAGCAGCCCGAAATTCTTTTATTTCAAATGGCTTTATGAAATGCATCCATCAGTCGGGGTGGTGCCCTTACCACGTTCACCTCCGGTCTAGAGCGTAAAGGAGAAGTTGCAGGAGTTAAAACGAAGCGGGAATATAAATCGCTGGTTGAGAGGAACACCGGAGCGGAATTTAGATGGCTGGGCGGTTAGCCGTTGGTGGGCGAGAGGGTAAAAGTTTTCCCCAGTTCACGAAGAATGAGAAAAATTGGAGAGTTGCCTCAGGCTAATTGCTTATTTCTGTGTCTGTATGTTTTAAGGGGAAGCTGGAAATACTATGGAAAGGAGGGGGAAATAGAAGGATTCATTCTCTCTCTCTCTCTCTCTCTCTCTCTCTCTCTCTCTCTCTCTCTCTCTCCTGCATTTTAAACCGATTCTATTTTACCTCTTAACCCTCAGAATTTGTCCATGTATACCCATGCATGGCAGGCACGTGGTGGCTCAGTAGCTAAGACACTGAGCTTGTCAATCGAAAGGTTGGCACTTCAGCGGTTCGAATCCCTAGTGCCGTGTAACGGGGTGAGCTCCCGTGACTTGTCCCAGCTTCTGCCAACCTAGCAGTTCGAAAGCACGTAAAAAAAAATGCAAGTAGAAAAATAGGGACCATCTATGGTGGGAAGGGAACAGTGTTCCGTGCACCTTTGGCGTTGAGTCATGCCGGCCACATGACCATGGAGACGTCTTTGGACAGCGCTGGCTCTTCGGCTTTGAAACGGAGATGAGCACTGCCCCCTAGAGTCGGGAACGACTAGCATATATGTGTGAGGGGAATCTTTACCTTTACCCATGCATGTATACACAAAAAGCTTGTGGACACCGGGAAGTGTGAGTGTTAAGAATACCTTTTATTCTAATGAGGAAATTAAAATAGCTTCAGATCGAATTAGGATTAAAAATCTGTGAAGAATATCTTAACTGATGGAAGAGTCGTAAGAACACATACCCGGAGTCTTATCCACTCTGGCCCAAGTCAAATATGCGGCTGACCCAGCAAAACCAGAATATTTGACTCAGTATTATCTTAAAAGAAAGACTGCCTTGAGGAAAGGGTTGGTCTAGAAGACCTCTAAAGTCCCTCCCAGCTCTATGATTCTATGTTCTATTTTTTTTTCCAAAAAAGAGAAACCTGAAAACAGTTTCAAAAGAGAAAAGAGACTTTTTAATACAAACTTGGATGTGTTTGGCATTTATTGAGGGAGGGAGGGAGAGAGGGGAAGGGAGAGAGAGGGAGGGAGGGAGAGAGAGAGGAGGGACGGGGAGAGAGAGAGAGCGGGAGGGAGAGAGAGGGAGGGAGGGAGGAAGAGAGAGGGGAGGGAGAGGGAGAGAGGAAGAGGGGAAGGAGGGAGAAAGAGGGAGGGAGGGAGTGGGAGGGAAAGAAAGGGGAGAGAAAGAGGGGGAGGGAGGGAGAGAGGGAAGAGGGAGGAAGGGAGAGGGAAGAAGGGAGAGGGAGGGGAAGGAGGGAGTGAGAGGCAGTGAGAGAGAGAGAGAGAGGGAGGGGGAAGGAAGAGGGAGGGAGGGAAGAAGCGAGAGGGAGTGAGTGAGTGAGAGAGAGACAGGGAGTGAGAGAGAGAGGGCGGGAAAGAGAGGGAGGGAGGGAAGGAGAGAGAGAGGGAGAGGGAGACCACGATTATGACTGTTGTGACCTATACGCACATACCTATACAGAGAGAGAAAACCCTTTTGGTATTCTATCTCTGCGTACAATGTGCACAAATTTATAATTGCCAGCCGCCGGTTGGTTCTCACTTTTCCTCCGTTAAAAAAAAAATTAAAACCCAGAAGAAGAAAAAGCAAAATTCTTCTTTGCAACCCGAGAGAAGCATCTCTAGGCTGGAGAAGGTCACGACGTGACACAGGGGAAGCAGCTGCTTTATCAATTCCATGGGAAAAGGCT